ACAACAAAAACAAAATTTATATGAAATGACATTTGTTTGAGCGAAAAGCAAATCAACGAAACGTATGAGCACCACCAACAACAACAACAACAATAAAAACACGAACAAACAAGAAATATTGTAATCTTTGTCACACCGACTCTTCCATGCTCTAGGAAGTCTTTCAAAATAGGTCCAAAATCAACCAAAAATAGCTACTAATTTGGTGAGTTGAACTCTCAGTAAGCAAGATATGGTTTAATTTTTTAAAATCCAGGCTAATACAGTTTGCAAAAAATATATACCTAAAATAGGCTGTTGTTTAACAAACTTGTGAATCAGATATGCAACAATTATGACATAATGGCGACGTGACCTTGGAGTATTTAATATTTATTTATTTTTTCTAGTAAGCCTTTCAAAATATTTAGTCCAAAAATAGCTACTAATTTTTTGAGTGGAACTCTTACTCTGGTTTATGTTTTTTTTTTATAATTAAAGCTCATACAGTTTGCCAACAAATAAATAACAAACTTAACAAACCTCAAACACTTATGGCATAATGGCGGCGCGACCTTTAGGTATTTATTTATTTGTTGTCTCTGCAGGGTGGCTAGGCTGAATGTAAAATACATGCAAAAAAAATACATGAATTGAATCTAACAATAATATCTAATAAACAATAATAACTGCATAGAAACAATAATTGAAAAATTAAACCCTGTATTAATTCCTAATTTATTTATTTAACATCATCCTGCAGAAAGGGAATATTTTCTGTCCTAATTTCCGGTCGGCACGAAGTCTTCTTCATAAAACTGAACCTACTTATATTGAGTCTATCTTCAAATTAATTGTTAAGACCTTTTTTAATATATATTTAATTATTATTAAAAGATTTTAAAAAATCGGCATATTATGCCTATCTACAAGTAAGCTTTCATGTTCAATATTTTTCTTTTATTCGGGAGCAAGCGAAATATATTCGATAGAACAATTAAGAAGTTAACGTATTTGTATAAAATACATTTTTTAGGAATGGCTTCTGTGTCCACTGAGTTTTTCAGTAAGACTGCCTTGTATGAGAATATTTGATCATCTGTTCTAGATATACTTTATGTTAACTGAGTCTAATTTGTTAAAGCTATGCACGTTACAAGCGTACAAGGAAGAAAGAGTATGCATTTGCCATTGAAAGGGTATACAAATAAACTGGCATAAAATAAAAGTAAACAGCATATCGAGAGGGACAGACAAATACATAAACATGGCGGCAGTTGGTGAACTAAATAAATTTTTACCATTGCGGCTAAAGCAAAATCCAATCCAATCCAAACTATGAGAAGCATAAGCTCCTCTCTCGGTCTGTCTGTATGTCTGTCTGTCTGTCTAACTGACTGTGTGGCTTGTGTAAGCGTTTTTTCGTATACTTGAGCTTATTTTCTCAATATACAATATACATGCTCGTATATTGAGTTGAACATTCAAAAAGGCACGGCTGTAATTTGTAAAAACATGATTATCATAAATAGTAAATCATTTATTTTTATTTAATTTGCGCTTTTATCCCATATATGTGTGTATTTCTGAGTGTGTACTCGTGTGTATGCACTTATCATCATCCGCCATCGTCTAAGTTGTTCAAGTGGAAAATCATCATCTTTTGACGGACCAATTGTTATTGTAACTAAATCTTAAAGTGTGCTTCAACATTCGCCTACAATTCCGCATGTGCGTAGCTATACATAGCTGAGTATTCAAACACTTATGACAATTGCTGTTGCACATTCCCAATTGAAAGCTTTTATTCAGGATTATCATCAATTATTTCACATAAGCCTGTTGATAGCTCTTTCCGTTTGTACCTCCCGCAAGTTTAAAAACTCGTTTAACAAATTAATGCAGCATCCATCACATTCCCATAACCCAATATATTCTGCAAATGAATGGGCCAGCCAATATGCTAGGTAAAGTCATCCTTTAGCTGTACTTTTGATATTAATTAATTAACTTTCCCACTACTCTGGCACTCCATTTTTCTTCATGTATCAAGTTTGTATTTCTGTCTTAAGAGATTTTGGCGCTATGGCAACAAAGGATCAGTAAGAACCTAATCTACCCTTTTTACCTTTCGCGAATAATAAGCAATAATTGTGGATGGCACCTTATAATTCATACCAGAACTTTATACATATATGTATATTTACTAGATATTAGTTTAAAAAGAAGCAGCCACTGATATCCAATTATGTGGCATTAAGCAGAAATACAAATTTTATTTTTTTTTTTACAATTCCAAAATAAACCAATTCCCTGCAACAATCGCTTAATGATGGCTACAATATCGCGCAAAGTTTCCACTATCTGTTTCCTTTTAATCCCTGAAAAACTCACAAATTTGTATTGCTAACTACTAAAGGGTCTTAAAAAAAAACACATCACATTTACGAGAAAAATATTTCAATAAGTTTATATTTGTTCAGTTCTTGCGGAAACTTTAATCTTGTAATTGCTATATTGAGGGCGCTGTTATTGTTATTTTTATTTGATTTTTAAATATTTTGAATTTGCGTGCATTGTGTGTTTATGAAGTTGAAATTTGTTGCCCTTCATGGAGCACTTTATTTGCTTTATTTACATGCTTTGATTATAACGGCTTCGCTTTCAACAACAACAACAACAAAATGAAAATAAATAAAAAGGCCCAAAATAAAACGAAATAAAATAAAAGGCAATGAAAATACATAATAAAAAGGGCGGAACACAATGAGGCAGGCGTGCAACTTCCGCTTTGTACTGCTGCCTGCCTGGCCTGCCTGGCTGCCGCGTTTGGTTTTTTTCTTTTTCGGTTAGTTAGAATACAAAAACAAAATGCGGGCTCAACAAGAACAAAAAGGGCAACGGCAACAATAACTACAGTAGCGCGACTGAACTTTACGCGTCGAGCGCTGGAGTTCGAGTTCAGAGTGCATTGAAGCGTACAATGTGTGTGTGTGTGTGTGTGTGTGCGTACATGGGTGTGTGTTGAAGTCGCATTGTCGACGTAGGCATTGGCATGAAGTGTAAAGTGTCTGCATATTTGTGTATAAGTGTGTTTGTGTGTGTGTATATGCTGGGGTGTGTGCCACTCTGAAGCTGAGTGCTTGACCAACTTCCGGTTGTCTATGCAGCAGCAACAACAACAACAAGAGCACACTAACAACGCTTACTAAATGAGCCGCAAATGTGTTAAAAAGCAGCACAGTATGCTGTGCAAACGAGATGGCGACACACAGAGACACACACACACATACAGGCACAGACACACACCTTTCACCTCAATTGCTGGTAACGCGTGCAAATTAGTTGGCTCAATGACTGCCCATTTGCTCTGATTGCTTTGATCGCAGCAAACAAATTTTGCGACGGCAGGCAGGCAACAACAGCAACTACAACCCCTTCGCACCACAACCCAACCCCTTTCTGGCAAAACCACAAAAGCCGTGTCTTTAGCAGCCCGCACGCTGACACGCCTGGCCACGCCAAAAGCCGCTTTTGGCTTAGTTCCTTCGCATCATCATCGTCATCTACTATGTATGTATGTAGTACACAAATATCGTTTCTTTTTTTATGTGACGGATTTTATGGTAAAACACTTCAAAACATGAAAACGATATCGGGATGCGCTGCCTATCTGTGGCAAAACGAGGACGAGGACGAGGACGCACACACCAGAGATTTATGTCGTCTGCCTGTTGTCTGTCCAGTCATCCACCCTCTGCCTGTCCGTCCATCAAATGCGCCAAAATGCGAAGCAAAGCAACGTAGAAGAAACAGTAGAGGAAAAAAATTGAAAAATCAAAATGATGAATTTCCATACTTTCACGCTTTGCTCGCCACTGTCTGCCTCTGGCTTGGGCTCTAGCTCTGCCTATGGCTCTAACTATGGCTCTAACGATGGCTATGGCTATGGCTATGGCTATGCTTTGTCCACTTTTGAGTCAGCAGCTACGAGTTTGCGAGTTGAAAAGGTGCGCACCAGCGTCAAAGCTGCAGAAGCAGCACAAGCAGCGGCAGTGGCAGCGGCTGCTGCGCCGCCAGCGTCACGCCTCAACGCTGGCAGCGCAACGCTAACGTTTCCCCGCCGGCACGAGGCGCAGCTCGTGACACTGATTTGGCCATGACGATGGCATATTCACATTGGAGGCGGAGGCACGACAACGACAACGACAACGACTGCGACTACGAAACGATGACGATGACGATGATGCTGTTGCTGTTGCTGCCTCTGGAATGATGGCAACATTGGCTCACCCACTGCCACGGCCATCAAGTGTTGGCACTGCTCTCCTGCTCCCACACACCAACACTTCAACACACACACGCACCCTCGCTCGTGCTGGCTGCTTGCTTCTCGACTAAGGTTCGTTTTAGAATCGTCGTGCTCGTATCGCTATTTGGGGGTTGGTTAAGCATCGTCGTCATCGGCTTCATCGTCGTTGTTGTCGTCGTCGTCGTCGTCGTCGTTGTTGCCGTTGTCGTTGCTGTCGCCGTCGTGTTAGCTTTTCAGTTGGCTCGCAAAAAGTTTTCATTATAAATGGAAAAACAGTTGTTGGTTCATTCGATTCGTAACGTTCGAGGCGGAAGTACATGCCCAAGTACTTGGCAGCATTTAGTCTGGAAAATAAACATTTCTTGTTATTACCAACCATACTAGTCAGAGAGTCAGAGTCGTGTGCGCGTTCAGCTAACACCAAATGGTGCATAACACCATTTTTGTTTGTTATTGCTCGTTGTTATTGGAAAGTATGTTGATTGTACATGTTTCTTAATTTTTTTCAAGTGCTATAAACTGTGCAATATAAAACTTACAAATGATGAAATAGAAAGAGAAATAACAATTTTGAAACCATATTTTTTGCCATCAACAATAATCAAATATTATAAACATATGGCAAAAGCTGGAAATATGGAAGCAAAACAAACTGCCAGGTGCTTGTCAGTAAAATGCCGATCAATCCTCAAAACTATGAAAACTCATTGAGAAATTACACACAAGTGATGATGACAACTCAACTACAAGTAGCAACTCTTTCAAGTTATTTCACTGGTAAGTGTCAACAAATATTATATTTTACAACTACATATGTTCGATCCATACACGCGTAAACATGTTTATTCGTATGTGTGTGTGTGTGTGTGTGTGTGCAGGTTTTAAATGACCGCCTAAATTGGGGGTAACTCAATAAATTGAACAAAATTAACTCAGGTAGAAAGTTTGAACAGACAAATAACAATAACAACAATTGTAACGGTAACAGGTGTCCGTGTCAAAAACTTCTGACTTGCTTGGCGGTGTCTGTTAAAGTGCGCCGTCCTTTTCGTAGCATGCTTCGAGGCGCCTCGACCGCATAACCTTATGTTTGGGCCCTTGAGGTGAGAGTTTAGAGTAGGTGTGGGTGTGGGTGTGGGTAATGGTGTTGGTGTTGGTATTGGTATTGGCTAACAAGGGCAACCTTTTTGTTCGGCTTATTACAAAGTTTTCGCCTCATCAATTAGGCTCTGCATTTGGTTCCGATTGTCGGCGACGAATTTTAAACCCTTAGCCCACAAAGTTTTTGTGGTCCCCAATATGGGCGCAAAGTTCAAATTTGATTTGTTATAGTTATAGTGACCCCCTTAAAAGTAAGCCCTCTTTTGTAAGAGGCCCAAGTTTTCGAGGCAAAAGTTTGCTAATTGAAATGATCGAACCTATATGATTTATCTTATGTTGTTGATATAGTTACGTTGAACTATGAGGCTCTAACAGAGAGAAAGGGAATTAACTCAATATCTGACAGCAGTCCTATTGTTATATTATTTTTACGTTTGGTTGCCGCTAAGTTCATAAAAAACAGCTCCAAAAATGTTTACAACTTACATTGGCAAACATACGATTTTGAAAACCAATGAGTGTCTATTTTGAATTTCAAAAATATATAACAGTTCCCAAAATCTCAAAAATATGACATTCAATTGCTATTTTATCTTAAATGACATCTGGCCTGCGAGTTGCCCCAAAACGATCGAGTAATCAGTTTTAAGTGCTCAAGACAGCGCTCCGAGTTCCCACAAATAGTAATTTTCTCGGAATCGTGTACTTTAATCAAGAAACGTTAAAAGCAAGATTGAAACATTGAGATACGCGTTTAGTGTTTTACATATTATTAGCTAATCTTTACAAAATACGTTCGCAGATCGATATAAAATTGTTCAAATGTTGACCAATAAATATAATATTCTTAATCAATAATCTATTCAATACTACTTTGGGCGATCGATATGGAAATTAGAGAATAAAATTACAATCATAAATTAATTTGTATTTCCGTTTTCACAAGCTCTTAAGCAGGTTTTTAATCAGATCATAGTACACATCCTAACTAATGCCATATATAAACAATAACTTCTTAAGAGGTGGTAGTTATCTCTCCTAAACCCTTCACATAATCGTATATGTATCACTGAAACATGTCGTACAAAAAAAATAGTAATTTAATTTCCATTTAGATCGAGAGTATATTACTGAGGCACAGATAAAGAGAGTATATTTAATACGAATAAAATACTAATATTTACAAATGATTATATTTCAAGAACCTTTGCAGCTGCATATAATATTTACAATTTGCATTATTTTGTATTTTCAACATGTTAATACATTTTTGAATACGTTGTGCGAAATCATCCCAGAAATACTTTCTTTTAGATTTTGCAATATTTTCTGAATGTTTCTGTGATCGCAAATCAAAAAAGGGTTCATGGGGAGAAGTGCAATTACTTACAACAATAAAATGTTATCTTATAGTCCAACAATATATCGTACATACATATCGTATAATACTCTGATACTCTGATATATTAAATGAAAGATTCTAAAAAAGATATTTTTTAATGAATTTCCATGCCGATCTTTGAATAAAAATCATTTCTACGTGTGACTATCGATTGAATGGCCATAACATTACCAAATGCATCAGAACTCCAATGAAAATAAATGACAGAAAGCGAAACAAAACACTAACATGTACATACGAGTACATGCTGAGGCTATTTTGGCGCACTTCCTTTCTTTCAAATCTCTAAAGTGTCTTTAAAATGTCGCGCGCCTCGCGTAAATGCTGCGAGCATTATGCCCCCGGGGCCTAACCGAACAAACTGCATTGGAATGCAGCTTCACACACGAGAATGGTTCCCATTTCCATTCCTCTCCGTTCGCCTGAGTGCCTTTCTTAGCTCACAACCAGCAGCTCGCAGCTCACATGTGCACAAGGCAAATGCAAATTGCTCACTTAAGTTGATCCCCGAGCAAATGTTTAAATGTCAGCACAAACAGAGGCAGGCAGAGGCAGAGCCAGAGCTGAGAAAACAGACATATGTATGGGTACTATAGATAGAGTTGATGTTGGAGATGGTGATGGTGATTGTGATGGAGCTGTGCCAAAGGCTCTGCGGAATAATGGGAGTAGTAAGGCACCTGGGTAGGATTTGTTGCCGTTGGCAATTACAAATGCTGTTTAATTGTTTGCAGCAACAATAACTGTTCAAATGCAAATGCAAATGGGCAACTAGAGAGACATACATGCATACATACGAGTACATACAACCAATACACATACAAGTACATGTACTTGTATTTACTACGCGTTGCATATAAACATATGTGCAAGGCAATTATCCGAATTTGCAGCTGAAAAAGAACGTAAACTTTAATGAACTTTTGTGGTGATTTCTATTTTAGCGAAGCACTCTCTCTCCCTCTCTCTTTCTTACTCTCTCTTTCTCTTTCGGTCACTGACTAGAGTGGAAGAGAGAGAGAGAGATCTGGAAATTAGCTTGCGTCGATTCCCATTTGGGCAGCAATTATTATCATTCAGTCAGCGAAGCGCAGCCAAAAATCATTCATTCAGTCACCCAGTCTGGCAGTCAGTCAATCCAGCACTCTTTCATTCAGTCATTCGACCAGGCGGCCATACAAACGAGCTCTCTCTCTCTCTCTCTCACTCTGCATACTGCACTTTTACATGCTCTACAAACTCACTTGGCATTTCATGTTACATACAAGTATTGATGCACAATTAAGCTCGCGCCCAGCCAGTCAGCCAGCCAGCCAGCTAGCTAGCTAGTCAGACAGTCAGCTAGTCATCCATTCAAACAGCCAACTGTCGCTTTGTCCACATCAACATCAACATCCACATCCACATCCACAGTCACGGTCTATTGCAAATGAAATTCACTGGCAGCGACAACGGCCCCGCTTTTAAATTGCTTTGCTTTTTTGCTTTCAACTTTAGGCTCGGGTATGAACGACGACTAACTCATCTGTATAAGTATGCACACATTTATAGTGGGTGACTGTATATTTATACTTGTATATGTATGTGTGTGTTTGTGTGCACGCCAGTTAGTCAGTCACCTTTAATTGAAAGGAGAAAAAAGTTCACAACATAAATAGGTAAATAAAAGCGCACAACGATCGTTGAAATGCGCAAATGACTTTGATTGCCAAATAAGATCGACATTGGTGCATACTCGTAAGTGACTGCATTCGATTTTCTATATACATACAACTAGCTACATATAGTATATTTGGAAGTGATCGAGCTGTGGCATAATTGCAAACAGTAAGCAGGCAATGTATTCAACAAGGCAATCAAGTCGTTCTTTTTATTATTCAAAATCTAGACATTGTTTTATATGATGAATCTTACTTAGTTCACAATTAAAATCAATTTTATTGCCCAACATTTTACTCTATTCATTAATCTTTTATTTTTTTTTTTTGAATTCCTAATTAGTCAAGTTAAATAATTTTCATTCATACTTAGTTTCAAAAGTGCTTTGAACTGCTAACTTCATTTCAAGTATGCATTCAACATGCTATCAGTTTTTACATAAACTATTAAAATAATGTTTTTAAGCACTTTAATATGTAGAAACAAATTTTAAATGTTTAACTGTAGCTCGCCCATTATTTTAAATTTTTTTGTATATAAAATTACATTTGCTAAATGAATCAATTTTCTTCAGCATTCGTTTTCTGATTTGATGACGTAACACTTGACTTTTCCATACCAGGACCCAGTATTGAGCGCATAAATTTTTTTTTCTAGAATTAGTCAGCATTTTCATTCAAAATCCAACAAGTATTTTCTTAAAAACGAACAAAAAAAAAAACAAACCGATAATTGCAACATTTTGCACGACGTTTTGATCCTTTTCATTATCTATAATATATAAATATGAAATGTTATAAATCAGAATTGAACATTTTATGCCCAGCAGAGATTTTATACCGATTGCCTAGCTCATAGTTTTTTGGACAGCAGTTTAGATTAATCTTAATCTTAGCTGCTTAATCTAAGTCAGACTACGAAAATTGTTGTCATAAACTGATGTGTTTGAAGTAATAAATTAAAATGATAATTCAATAATTCCGATTTTCTAAGATCAACCGATTGATTTATTTTCAAGTTAAATCTCGATGTTCATGAAACTCTTGAAAAGTAATCAATGTAACTAAATAAGGTGTTTTTTGAAAAATGTTTAAGAAAAAAATCCTTTTATACAAGTATGTAGCCACGCGAGATTAAATTCGTAGCACTAGGATGTTAAGCAACTATTTGTCTTTCTGCAGTCATATTTAAATGCTATTGATTTTTAAAATGTTGTGGCATTCTAGCCTTCAAGTCATTGACTGTTGGTCCATACTCGTATTCGAGTAGAGACGACCACAACTCGAAGAGGGAAATTTCTTCGACTGCCATTCGATGACATGTGAGTGCTGAGTTATGCAAGCACTTGGAATGAGCAGGGCAGAGCAGAGCCGAGTTGACACAAAAACTTTTTTATTGATAAAAGTTAAAAGGATGCAATGCAAAGCTAAATACGTGCTACATATTGTACATATGTATGTGTGTACACACATACATACATACATGTGTACATATTTACGTAATGAATTGAAACAAAGCTGTCATTGTAGTTAGTTATCAGTCTCATTCTCATTCTCAGTCTGGTTGTTGTTATTGTTACGGACTGTCTACCTGTCTAGCTGCCTGCAACATCTCT